GGCGACTCCTGCAGACACAGCCCGAGCGGTGTCTGGCGCGGGAGAGCCGGTGCGGTGGGGAAGTGCCCCCTGCCGCTAGGGGATGCAGGGAGACGGGGGACAATTAGCCGGGGGTGATTAGGCACTTCGGTGCTGGATGGGTCCTGGCTCGGGATGTTAAAGACTAGTCACGTTCCCATGACCAAACGCTTATCGATAGGATCGTCAACAGGATAGTCCACTACTCCATTCCCCCCTCCCGCTGCCTTTATAGAGGCACCAAGAGGGGAGGGGAAAAGGGAGGTACTTCGAGTGGTAGCACCCCATTGACCCCGGGCTCAGTGTGGCGCTGCCACTTTGCAATGCCAAGCGGAGCCTGGGAGCAGCTGGGCACTCTTCTGGCTCCAGAGAGTATTTCAAAGCAGCAGCAGCACCGCTCGGAGCCCCGGATTAGCTGGGGACTCCCCAACTGACCCCAGGCTCTGTGCAGCATGCCAGCTTTGAAATGTACAAGATGACATTTCACTGGGGACAGGGGGGTTCTTGTGCATTTCAAAGAGGAAGCTCAGCATGGAGCCTAGGGCCAGCGGGCCTACCCGCTTGCCCTGGGCTGTGCACAGCGTTCTGACTTTGAAATGCACAAGAGTGCCCTCGGGGCTCTTGTACGCGGAAGTGCCTATCGAGTAGCCAATGGAAATTCCATTGACTGCTCAACTAGTAAAGTAATCTCTAGTTAACATCCAGTAATCGCTAGTTAACATCCCTAGTCCTGACACTACTTCCTATAGCGGTCACCCTTCGCTGTGTTGGTTTTCTAGCTGTGGTTCAAGAGCAGCAGTTCTTAAGCTGTAGGTCATAACCACCTGTGAAAGGGGGCGCCAGGGTTGGCTTAGACTGTCTGGAGCTGAAACTACCACAACCCAGGATTGAAGCCAAAGCCCAAGGGAACTGGGTCATAGCACTTAGTTCAAGGCCTGAAGCCCTTGAACTTCAGCTTTTGCCCTCATGCCAAGAGTGGTGGGGTTTGAGCTTTGCCCTTCCCTTCCCCCCCCTCATTCGTCTCCCCCATGCAAGGGGCAGCGCGGCTTCGGCGGGCTCAGGCGCGTCCTCGATTCTGGGGTTGTGAAATAATTTTTGTTGTCAGAAGGGGGTTGCGGTGCACTAAAATTGGAGAAGTCCTGCTCTAGACTTTTCTGTGTGTTTTTTTTCCCCCCTCCCCCCCGGTGAGGTGTGCATTTCTGGCAGGAGTCCCAGGTTTTAGGTGGACTGTGTGGATCGGTGATCACAAATGCTTTTTTGTAGGTGCCTTATGCACTCATGCCACTCGGAGGACTCTGAAAGAGATTGGTTTGAGCCAGGCGATGGCAACCTTTCAAAGAAGAGCCATTTTTGTTGTTTTTGACCAAAATATTTTGACAGCTGCATCACACTTAAAGCTCTGGGCTGGTGCATGGGTTGGGGATGATGGGTGTGAGCTTTAGGAGGGAGTTTGAGTGGATGAGGGGCCTCTGAGCTCGGAGAGGGGTTTTGGGTGGAGGCAGGCCCGTGAAGTGCAGACTCTGTCCAGGAGGTGCTTACCACAGGCTACTCCCGGCCAGCCACGCAGGCGGGCCTTTCATAGAGAATAAAAGAAATCTGCAAAATTGTAGTTTGAGCTGTTGACATTTGTGGTAGTTATGCACCATCACACCAGTGCATACTGACATACTCGTGATGGTGGTACACCATAGCACATCTGAAAAGATGGTCTTTTGTGACTTTTTAGCTTTTTGTGGTTTTGTTTTTTCATTCATTTATTAATTCATAGAGTCCAAGGCTAAATAGGACCATTGTAATCATCTAGTCCATTGGTACTCATACTTTTTGGCCCATGGTCCACCAGGATCAATGCAAACCTTTCCGTGTAACACCAGTTTTTAATGGAAACTTGCAGTTAATTTCACAATTACACCCAAACCATTTTACTAGTGTTGTAGCTAGGAAATATTAAATTATTAAACAGAATAAGTGCTTTAACTTTCTCATGTTAGTTTATCTAACTTCATTTTAAATACAATAAAATATTAATTTATGTCCAACACAAAAAGTTTCAATGTTTCCTTTATTTATGGCTAAGCTGGGCTATCTTTTTTGGATCAGTTGCCACTGATCCACAGAAAAATCAGTTGGGGACCACACGAGAGAAGCAAAAAAAAGCCCCTCCCAAAATGCCCACCCTCACTGGCCCCCAACTGAGACATCTCACTCTTCTGGCGTGTGAGCCCCACAGAGCAAGGGAGAGCGACAGGGAGGACTGAAGTTCAGAGCTTTCCATGGTCCAGATTTACTCTTTTGGAGTTCCAGGATTAGTAGATTTTGTGGACCCCCTCCTAGGCTCTAGGGTGGGGACAAAAGTGAGGGGTTCAGTGTGTGGGACAGGGCTGCTACTGAGTGGAATAGGGATGAGAGTACAGGATCGAGGTGGGGTGAAGATGTGAGCTCTGAGTGGGAGATAGAGTGTAGGAGTAGGGTGTCTGGCTGGGAAGGAGGGGACAATAGCAAGGGAAGGTGCAGTGTGTGGTCAGGAGGGAGGATGCAGGAGCAAGCTTGGGGAGGAGGATGTCTGATTGGGGGGAGGATGCAGGAGCAGGGTGTGTGTATGGTGTTTGGCTGTGGGGGAAGGTGCAGAAGCAGGGAGGATGGGCGTCCGGCTGGGAGGAAGGGTGCAGAAATAGGGTGGGGGTGGAGTATCACACCAGGGTGAAGGGTGCAGGATCAGGCTTGAGGTAGGGTGTCTGGCCGGGGAGAGGGTGCAGGAGCAACCTGGGGATGGGGTTTCTGACTGGGGGATGGGACAAAAGGAGGTGCTTTCACACCCCACATCGCTCTCAGGTATTGTGTTACAAGCTCGGCCTCCTGATGCTCCCATTGGCTACAACTCTGGCCAGTGGGAGCAGCGGGTAAAGCCTCCAGGCAATGCGTCTGTGTGCTGCTCTTTCCCCAGCTGCGGGATGGAGGATGGGGAGCAGCAGCATGCATAACCTCTTCTGGCTCTGCACCTTTTTTTTTTTTTTTTTTAAACAAAAAACAAACAAACACTGCTTTACACTAACTGGATCTGCTGGCCTAATTACAATTTTTCTGCCATTTCCTGTAGATCATTGAATTTCCAGTTGAAATTCAATATCTAACATAAAATTTTTAATTTCAAAAATATATAGTTCTTTAAACATAGGCCTTGCTATAATTCCTGTAGAAGACTGTGCTGGTTTAACTAAATCAGTTTTAAAATATGACTAGCTGAATTAGTGCATACTTCTAGATCCATTGACTTACCTTTTACTATAGACAAGGCCTAAGTTTTAAGATTATAGGACTATGTTTTCAAGAAAGGAAGGAATTGTTTTTGTATTTTCTATTAATATAAACTTGTTTTTGCAGGCATAACTGCAGCAAATGTTTATAATCGTCTGAAAGAAAATTGTAGAACCTTTATAAATGAGGATGTAAACACGTTCCCAGGTAAATATATTGGCAAATAACAAAACAAGGCAAATGTTATTGAGATTGTTCTTTAACCAGAGCTTGAAAAATCATGTGCCGGGGGCAAATAGGAAGGTTTGTAAACGAATGTCATCATTTTCTTCAGAATCTGAGCTTTCATTAAAAAAAAAATTCCACAATTTAAGTTTCTGCCATTATATTGATGAAGAAAATCTTCCAAAAGTGGAATAAGTATAACCAATGCAGATTTAGCCAGAAAAACCCTCCTAATAGCCACAGTGTCTGCTATAGTTTGTGGGTTATCCAAGCTGTGACAGGTGTTTTCGTTGCTGTTCAGACCAGGACCATAGTGACAAAAACTGACAAAAATTGTGTCATTTCCCCCTGCTGGCCTCATACTCCCTGTGGGGTTTCTTGTACGTTTCAAAAGGAAGCCCCGCAGGGAGTATAGGAGAAGCAGGGGACTCCTGGCCCCATGCTCCCTTCCAGGCTTCTGCTTTTGAAAAGCAGGATTGCAGCAGAAGCAGCATGAGCAGAGACTGCTTCAGTCCCTGCTCATTCTGTTTCCTGCAGTGCCTCTACTTCCCCTGCCCCTCACGAAGATGGTGCTGGGGGAAACCAGCTTTTAAGCTGGCTTCTCTTCCTCTGTGCCCCCCCCCACTGCCTCTCTCTGATAGAGGCGGCAAGGGGGGGAAGCGACTAGTTGCATCACTAGTCGACTATGCGATAAGCTTATGCTGAGGCTTCAGTTGTGATGCCAAAAGAAAACTAATTCTTAGGCAATAGTGGCATATTAAGATGTACATGTTAAGTATGTTTTTCTACAAAACTAAAATGTAAATGTAGCATTCCAATTTAGGTAACTTTTATTGTCTACAGATTGACTGCCATTCAGTTTAAGCTGTCATAATTTGTAATTTGCATACTTGCATTACCTATGCTACGTAACAGCAATGTTGTGGGAACTGATACAAGGCAGTTGCCCCTATTACTAATTTGCCTCAACCAATCTAGAATGGAATCCCATTTACAATACAGACTGTACCTTAAACATATCTTAATGCTAAAGCCCCAGTATTCTGCACATACTACAAATTATGACAGTGTTTGTTAGCGTGTTGGGTGTAACCAGGTTATAACCAAATTACATAACATGATTGTATTTGCAACATAGACAGGTGTTTAGATGACCAAAATAGAGCTTGCAGTGATAGAGGGCAAATTATTGCTGAAAGAAAGCATCTTTGTTTTTTAAATAATTCCTGTAGTTGCCTAGAAAGGTGCACAGGTTGGACTTCGCTATCTGGCACTCCTGGGACCTGAGTGATCCCAAACCAGGTAGTTTGCCATATATGGAGAGGTCAACACCAGTGCCTCTGCTGTCGGCCTCCGGGCTCTTCTCTGGCTGCTGGCCCCACTCCCAAGCTTCTCTCCTGGCCACTGGCCCCGCTGGGTTCCCAGCTCCAGCATAGCTGCTAGCCTCTGGCCCCACTGCCACCAGCCCGGCTGGGCTCCTGGTCCTGGAAGGGCTGCAAGACTGTCAGGGCTCCCAGCTGCTGGCCCTCCTGCCGCCAGACTCCCGGCCACTGTGGCTCTCAGGTCCAGAAGCATCCAGGGTTCTGCTGGACCATGGATGTTGCCGGACCAGAGAGTCCCAGTTTAGAGAGGTTCAACCGTATATGACTGTGTAACTTAAATTCCTAACTGAAGCAGTAAATGAAGTCACAAGTAAAAATGTTAATTCAGAATCTTTGTAAAAAGGAAATAAAATTGAAATAGGCAGAATTGCTTTTGATGTTTGAACATTTGTTTTATTGTTCTGTAGCATGTTCAGTAGCTGGTGTTCCAGGTATGAGGAAATGGTATTTTGCAAATCAAGTCATAAATGATTTTTATCAGGTAAGAATAAAAACAGTTCCGTAACTCTTCACTTAACTGTGCAAATTTTGATTGATATAAATCAGCACTTTGACTAATACATTACTTTTGCTTTATTAGTTTTGTAGCTCGGACTGGGAAGAGATCAATTTTGAGGTGAAGAAAAATGAAAGTGAAAACTGTCTTCAGACCAGTATAAAAGAATGCCTGGATGCTATTCAGAGTTTTGAGGAGGAAGATAGTAGCAGCAGAGAGTTATTGTCCCTGATTGAGTATGCTTATTACATTTTTATTGAAACATCTAGTGATTCAGATATGATACAGAACAAAGGAACCAAGAGAACTAATTAGTTCTTTTGATGATAGTTTGTTTCTATTTTAATTAATCAGTAACCCCCCAAAAAACCTTTGAATTCAAAATTCAATGTAATTTTACAACTCATTACTTTAAAACATCTTAGTTGTTGTTTTATTATTCTGTACAAATAATCTTCTTAACCACTGATTTTTGTGTGTAAAATGAAACATTCTGTTGCAAAAATGCAGGCTATAATATTTTCATGGAAACCTTGTCTGGGTTTGGAAACATCATGCATATTGTCTAGCTAGAGACTGGCCCTTCTATTTAGTGCTTAGGCCTGTCTGCACTTACTGGGAAATCAGTGCAGGATCTCTCGGGGTCAATTTAGCAATCAACCTCTGCTCAATTACTGCACTGTCTCCACTACAGAGGGTCAATGGGAAAAACTCTCCCCTCTGTAGTGGAGACACCACAGAAATTCAAACTAAGGTACGTCAACTCCAGCTACCCTAGTAACATAGTTGGAGTTGCATCCATTAGTTTGACATTGCCCCCTAATGTATACCTGGTCTCAGATATCTGACATCACGATATTTTAAGGGGTGTTCTTAAGTTTTATATGTTTTTTTGTGAATATCTAGTGAATAAATTCTTGTTCATTAGTTATAGCAGCTGACTTAATTAAAATGTCGAGACAGGCCTGAAATATGTGGTTCCCTTTTTGTTTTCAAGATCTTTGAACCAGTCAGTTAAACATCAGTTTTGGCAATTGATTTTTGTTCTGTGCTTTTTAAGAACTTCATAGTATCACAAATGAATGTATTTATCTTGCTAATCTCTTGTTTTACTTCTAGCTGTTCTGTGACTAGAATACCTAGTACTGTGCCTGTCTTGAATGACGTTTGTATTCACAGTTAACATTTAGCGTGACATGCTCCAGGATTTTCAAGGAGCCTAGGCAGTTAGGTGCTCAAATCTCCTTACAATGTAGTAGGAATTGGGTGTCTAATATAGCTGGTCAAAATATCAATATCAAACAAAACAGAAATTCCTTTTTCTAGTTAGTGCTCATGTCTAATTACCGTACGTCCTTTTGATAGTTCCAAGTATAGTATGTAATCTGTTATAATTCTGTTTAGTCTTTAACTTCTTTTTACGCAATCATTTTAAGATAAAGTAAATTTATGGAGAGAAAGGCAAGCAGAAAAATAAGTAAAACAAGGTTAAATTTATGTTGAAAACTCAAAAATCTATAATATGTGCTAATGAATTATGGGGAAAAAATTGTCAGTAGAAGAGCTAGTCATTTTCTGAAATAATGGCATCTTATAAAATAGATAGCACCCTGTCTTCAAATATACTTTTAAAATGAGGCTTTTCATTTTTATATACTCACTTTTGTTATGCTGATAAAAATCTACAAAAGTTATTTCCAAGTAACACCAACTACAGGGTCTTTAGTATAGTATTTTTGACTTTGTCTACACTGCTACATTTTGGCAATGTTATTGCAGATATAACCCCTGAGCACTTGAGTAAGTACCTTAAAGAATGCCAACTACTTTATATGGTAAGAACCTGGGCTTCATGCTGCCATTTCCTCACTATCGAGATTTGTAATTTGTTCTTTGAACTTGAATTCAGAGAAGAACTTAAAGAAAAAAATCCCCAAACACTCCTGTTCCAGATAAAAAAGTAAAATATAGGTTAGTGAAGAAATAGCAGCATGGTTGTTAACATACAGAGTAGCTGGCATTCTAAAGATATTAGGGAAGTTTTAACCTTACAGGGAACCAACTGGCCACGCTTTTCTTCTGGCTGTTTAAATCTACAGTTTTGACGTTTAAAAATTAGGCTTTCATATAGTGAAGGTAAAAATGGTATATACAGTAGACTTCCGATAATCCGGCACCTTTTGGACCTAGGTGGTGCTGGATTATGAGATTTGCCGGAGAATCGGGAGGTCCGGTACAGCTGCATGGCTTAACAGCTGGCCAGAACACAATCTCCTCCCTCTCCCCTCCCCTTTCCTTTTCCAGTCTCCTCTGTGCTGTAACCTGATCCTCCTCCACGCTCTTCTCCATACTGTAACGGGATCCCATTCCCCCTCCTTCTTCCTCCCCAACCTTATGCTCTGTCTGGTTACAGCCAACCCATGTCCCACCCCCTCCTCCTCCCCCCAATCTTATGCTCTGTCTGGTTACAGCCAGCACGTGTGCTGAGCAGCAGGCTTTTTAATCAGCTGGTCAGGAGTGCTTGGCATTTTGATGCCGGAGTATCGGGAGTGCCGAACAGTTGGATGCCGGACTGTCAGAGTTTTACTGTAGTCTTATTGTCACTCGTACCAAGATGAAGCATGTATTGCGTGTTTCTTTTAGAAAATATCATTACACATGTAAATGCAGTAGACACTTTTGCAATCGATAAATCTGTAGAGCTGAAACATAAGTATTCATATTAAATGTAGGTAGTAAAATATGTAGAATGGACAGTTATCCATGACTGTAAATATATGGATAACTACAGTACCAGGCAGCAGAATATTGTAAAGAGCTGTAAATGAAGCTGAAAATTTTAGCTTTGGCTACTCACTTTGAGGGGTAGCATAAACTAGTGGACAGATCTCAGAGTGGGGAGCCAGATACTCTTGAATTTAATCCCAGATCTACCAAGACACTGTGGCCTTGGAGAAGTCACATAACCTATCTGCTTTTTTTCCCCTGAATATAAAATGGAAAAGCAGTGAGACCTTGTAGGGTTTATATGCTGATTGTTTAGTGCTTTCAAGATGTAGTGTACTTCCATAAAATACTAAATATTGTTACCGGTAATTTAGTTCTGGATAATTTTGTATATACATTTATTTAAATCCAGTAACCCTCTTTAATTTCAGTGTCTATGAAGAATCTGCAGAAAGTCTGCATCAGTTGACGGACAAGCTCCCTGCTCCTGGTAATTTCACAGAAAGGCTTGTGTTTATCTTCAAGGACTCAGTTCTGAGGGCTTTCAGTCTGATGACAGACAGACAGAAGTTAAAGGAAGGAGAGAAACAATTGGGGAATTTTTAAATGTTAGCTAGGTTCACTAGAGGTGGGATTGCAGAAGTGGGTTCCTGAAGGATGTAAACGTGGGCAGGGTATTTACCTTGTGAATAAGCTAAGTTGCAGCCTGGTTGTGTTAGACAGTGGAGAAGAAGTCAAAAATATCCTGTAAATGAGTGGTTCTCAAACTCCCGTGGTCCACCTGGCTTAATGGCCTGTGGACCACCTGGCTTAATGCAGATCTTTCCATGGACCACAAGGTGCTAATGAAACTAACTGTTAATTACATAATTACCTCTGAGCCATTTTGCTAGTGCTGCAGCTAGGAAGAATAGTTTAATTTAAATTATTAAACAGATTAAGCATTTTAAATTTCTCATGTTAGTTTATCAAACTTCATTTTAAATAAAGTAAAATATTTATTTAAGTCTAACACAAAAGGTTCCCATGTTTTCTTTATTTATGGCAGGGGTGGGGAACCTTTTTGGGTAGGGTGCCACTGACCAACAGAAAAATTAGCTGGGGACCACACAAGTGAGAAGCAAAAAATCTCCTCCAAAAACACCCAACACTCACTGATGTAGCCCCCAACTGAGACACCTCATTCCTCTGGCATGCCAGCCCCACAGGGTGAGAGGAGGGGACAGGGAGGACTCAGGATTAGGGCTTCCCATAGGCCAGATTGACTGTTCTGGATTTAGTGGATTTTGTGGACCCCCTTAGACTCTGTGGAGGCATGACTGTTCTGGATTTAGTGGATTTTGTGGACCCCGTTAGACTCTGTGGAGGCGACAAACACGAGGGAGTCAGTGTGTGGGACAGCCAGCAAGTGTGATAGGGAGGGGGGTGCAGGAGGTGGGGTGTAAGAGGGGGTGACGGTGCGAGGTCTTGGTGGGAAATAGGGTGCAGAAGCAGTCTGGGACTAGGGTGTCTGGCCAACGGAGAGGAAGCTAGAGAAAGGGAGGGTGCACTGTGTGGCCAGGAGGGAGGGTGCAGGAGCAAGGGTGGGTTCAGAAGCAGGGTGAGAGTAGGTACTTGGCCAGGCCAGAGGGGAGTGTGCAGGACCAGGAGGGAGGGTACATAGAGCCCTGAGCCTCTGACTGGGCAGGGCTGATTAATCACCTAACAAGCTGTGCTGCCACACAGCTTGGAGGCAACACTGGTGTCAGAGCAACCGAGGGTGCAGGGTCTTGGCGGGAAGAGGGGAGTGAGCGAGGAGTACTGGGCTGTGGGGTTCTGGGCATGTGTCCCTTGCAGCAACTGCTGCAGCCACAGAGTACTGGGCTGGCCCCAGACACTGAAGGCACCATTACCATGGCCATGCAGTCCTGGGCCAGCCCCAGAGGCTGGCGCTGCTTCTCCCACCACAGCCTAACCTGGCCAGGAGGAGGGTGCAGGAGCACGGGAGGGTGCCGGACCTGGCCAGGAGGGAGGGTGCAGGCGAGGGCTTGGGGTAGGGTATCTGGCCAGGAGGGAGGGTGCAGAAGCAAGGGGAGGGTGCAGAGTGTGGCCTGGAGGGAGGGTGCAGGAGCAAGGGAGGGTGTAGGAGCAAGCTGGGGATGTGGGGTGTTGGCGGGGTAGATGGTGAGTGATGGGGATTGGGATGCGGGGGCTTGGGCATGAGTGGGGATGCTTATTTGGCTTTACACCTCCATTGTTCCCATTGGCCGGTGGTTTGTAAAGAGATGCTCCCTTGTAAGACTGTGCTGCCGGTAGCAGGAACGGCTTCTATAATATATTGCTATCAGAAGTAGACAATCCTAGAGGCTGTTGTTTCTAAACAGAAAACCAAATGTTCAGAATTGCTGCCATTCAGTGCTGGGGGGCTCCTCTGTTGTCTTCTACGCTGGCTTTGTGTTTATGGCAACCCAATTGGTACCTTGTCAGCACAGGTAATCCTAAGATTCCAGATACTCTGTACCACTGTGAAAAGCTAAGTCGGCGGGTGGAGTCCACATGGCACAACACAATACAGAAACATTTTTTGGTTTACACCAGCTCTTTGGTGAGGGGTGAAGGTGGGGGACAGGCAGCCTCCTCTCCAGGTCTCTGGAGTAGCCCCGCTCTGCGTGGCTGCCCTACAGAGCAGCCCTTCCCACCTCGAAAATGCAGCTGCCTGCACCGCTGAGCTGATGGCAGGATGGGCGGGTCTCACAGGGGAAAGGCTTCTGGGTTCCTCTGGATGCTTTCCAGCCCCACAGCGTGATGGCACCAGCACTGCTGCTTCCAGGGTTTCTCCAGCAGCCAGCACGGCGCCTCCCGCAGGCAGTACCTGGAGGCGAAGGGCCCATGGGCAGATGCCATGATGCAGTGCAGGGAGGCGGATGCTGATTGCCCACTTAGCAGAGCCAGATCCGTGTGGGTGGGGCTGGATGCTGGGCTGCGGCAGTGTTAAAGGGCTCCCAGCATCACGGCACTGGCCAATAGAAGCAGCGGGTAAGCCTCACTGCTGTTCCTTCAGCGGGGCGGGGACGGGCAGGGGGAGCTCGGCCCTCCCCATCTCCTCCACACAGTGGGGAGGCAACGCAGGCTTCTTGCCTCATGGGGAAGACGGGGAGAGGCTGAGCTCAAGCCATGGACCACCTGGGAGGCGGACCACTAGTGGTCCGTGGACCCCACTTTAAGAACCACTGCTGTAAATCATTAACTTCAGTCACAGAGTTTAAGGGGTGGAGTTGTTGCAGATAGAGAAGGGAGGGAAGGGTATGTTTTGAAGAGAAGATAATGTATTTTGGTTTTCCTGTTTAGCATAAGCTGATAAGATATCCAAGAGGAATTGCTAAATAAACAGACTGACGTTCCTATAGAAATGTTGCAAATCTTGTTTCTACATTTCTCTATTCTGCCCTTTAACAATCCTGATCACAGTCAGCCATAAACCATATTTTTTGTAGAATATTTTATAAATTTGGCTTGCTCCTTAAAATGAGATCAGTGCTTAGCTGTATAATTTCATGCTATAAAATAATTTACACAAACTATGTTTTATTTAAGGAAGAGCTATGGTTGATGTAATACTACAGTCTGCTGAAAGAGATGCCCCCAAGTTAAAAGACTGTTTACCTGTGATTGGTGCCCTGAAACATCTGAGAGAATGGCATTCTGCAAAAATCACTATCACAACAAATGACTGTAAAGGGTATGATTTTAATTAGTTGTACAAGTGGGGACGTTATTTGTTTTGCATCTACATACACTAATGTTTTTAAATAAAGTTTATGAAGTGTCTTAATGCTTGACAGTTGTTCTTTAGGAAAGTATGGATTTCTCTTTTATCATTGTTGAAAAGGAGGAGCTATCCAGACAATTCTGTTCAATACATGCCTTCAGCAAAGAGGTTGATTACATCTCATTTTATTTAACTTTAATTAATATATCTAATTTTTCCTGATAGCCTGGCTTCATTTTACACAAGACCTTTTATAAAGTTAATATAGCACAAAACACAGTAATTATTACTGATTACTTTGAATTAGCAATGTTAAATTGAGGTTATTTGGCTAATCGTGTAGATAATCACTTTGTATCGACTACACGATTAGTCGATAAGGACTGCTCTGCACAGCCACAGAGGGGGAAGCTCCAGGAACTGTCTCGAGCTGGGACTGAGCAGTTCCGGATCGTGCTGGTTCTGGGAGCTACCCGCACTGTGGCTCTGCACTTTAAATGTAGTAAGAGCTGCTGGACTCTTACTACATTTAGAATGCAGAGGTACAATGTCCCGGACCAGCGCGAGCAGGGAATGCTTGGTCCCGGCTGCTGCCGGAGTAGCTTCTGTTCACTGCGGCCAGGACTGGCTGTGGCCAGGGACTGCTCCAGAAGCAGCCCCTGCCTGTGTCTAGCCCTGTCCACCATGAATAGAGGTTGCTCTGGCACCAGCCTCTGTTTGTGGTGGCCTCCCTGATAGAGGCAGGGGGAGGCAGACGGCACTGTGGAGCTGTTGCTCAGGGGAACCAGCATTTAAGCTGGCTCCCCCGAGCGCCGGCTCCTGTCCCTCCTCCCAACCTTGCTGACTCTCAGAAAAGCAGCAAGGGTGGAAGGCGAGTAGTCGATACTTCAGTGGACTACTCACTAGCATCCCTACTTTTAATCTGGTTTTGTAATTTTTGTAAAACGGGTATCAAGTTGCCGTTTTTGCCTTTTGAAGTTAAGGCTATTGACTTGAATATTTTTATTTACATACATGTTTGTTGATTGCCTATTTCCCTCCCACCTCGTCAGCTCAATATAAAGTGTAAAATGACCTTGACTTCATCAGTAAAATTGTGATAAGACAAGGAAACTAAATGTTTTGCCTTGAAATAAACCCCTAGGTAGAGAAAATATTTATGTGTCATAAGACACCTGCTAATACACACAGAGGGAGATGAAAAACTATCACGATCAATTTATCATGATGGAGGATTCCTTTCTGATTTTAAGTATGGCAATCAACGCATCTCTTCTTTGGATCAAATAGGCTCAGTCTTATGCTTTCATCTTCATTAACAACCATGGGCTCAACTCCCATTAGTGTCCGATGCCTTCCTCACTATTTCCTTCCATCTTTCCCTGTCCAGTGCGGAGGGGCTTAGTTTCTGTAGACTAGCTCCCCACCAATCTACTGTATCATCTACTCATTCTCTGTGGAATCTGCCTTTCCTATTCGGACCATCCATTATGCCAAATACCAGGGTCTTAACTTTTTGCTTGTTGTTCATTCTACAGATAAGCCTGAATAGCTGTGCTGCATATCCTTTATGCATAATGAGGCAACCTGTCCCTGCTCTTACCACATAGAAACCAATAAATGATGAACAGGGAAATCCTCTAGTTGACAAGAGAAGTCAATGTGTTCTCTTTCCATCCATGTCTCTCATTCCCTTTAATACACAAAGAAGGGCAGTAGTTGGACATGCATATTGCAAGACTGCTAATTACAGTCTGACTCAGTTTGCCAAGCCAGTGATTGCTTGCTACATGCCAGTGCATTCTATTGTCATCTTGGTGGAGCACAGAAATACCTTCCCCTGCAGGCAGTGGAGCCAGCATGTCTGTAAGAGTGTACTTTTCAGAGTACAAAGTTATATATTTTGGTCTGAATTTACATATTTCCAGAAGTCTGTGTTTAGTGCTAAGGTGTAGAAGATCTATTGGATTACCACACATAGCATGGTAATCTTTAAAACAAGTTGAAATAGGAGATTCATTATTTTTCCTTACTTTTACAGTGTCTGGCAAAAAATTGCAGACTACTTATCAGCAGATGTTGTGGCTTCAGATAATCTAATGAATATTATTGATTCAAAAGAGCTTTGGAGAGGAGAGATTCAAATATGGGAAAGAAAGGTACGGGTTTTTTTCTAGTTTTGGTGATCTTTTTTTAGATTCCCTGTGTATACTTACTGTATAAAATTGTTATGAGATACATATTGTATTATAAATTATTAGACTTCATGCTTTCATTTGAATTTTGTAACAATCTAATTATATAGAAACCAGTTTAAATAACACTTTTCTTTAAACAGAGAAAGTATAAATGTATAGCTACAGTGTGGAGTTTCATATGCAGGGACCTAAGTTTAGGTACCAGACCTTTACTCTCTTTACCTTAGGTTTGTGGGTTTATTTTTAAGTCAAATCTTTTGTTGTTCATGACAAGCGATTATCCTCTTTCTTTGCTACATTTTAGTACTCAAGAGTCTAGGACTTGTGCAATAAGCAGCGACTATTTAGCTGTAGAAGACAACACTTGTGTTTGCAATGTCTTAATTTTGCATATGTTACCAGATTATTCAAACCAATATTATTTATACTAATGAGGCCATATCTTTTTAAAGCAGTGGTGGGCAACCTAGCCTAATGTAAGTTGCCCACAATCATCTCAGTGGGCCACAAGATTTTCCTAACCAAGATGATCTCCCAGGATAGGTTGGTTTTGCTAACTGCACTTGTGTACCTAGAATTTGAGGGATGTGCCAGTTGAACCATAGCAGTGCTTTGATTGGGTGCAGAGGAAGCACTTGGCTCTCAGTCAGGCTGTGTCTAGACTGCAGGTTTTTTTTGAAAAAAGTAGCCTTTTTTTGAAAAAACTTCACCTGCGTCTAGACTATAGCCGCGTTCTTTTGAAATTTAAATCGAAAGAACACAGCTTGTCTTTCGATGGCGGTAATCCTCATTTCACGAGGAATAACGCCTTTTTTCGAAAGTGTTCTTTCGAAAAAAGGCGTTCTTGAATACAAACAGGGCTTTTTCGAAACAGAGCATCCAGACTGCCTGGGTGCTCTCTTTCGAAAAAGCAGCTCACTTTTTCAAAAGAAGAGGTTGCAGTCTAGATGCTTTCGAAAGAGGCTTGCAGTCAGACGTAGCCTCAGTGTTCTGTGCAATCAGCACACATCTCACTTCACTTTACATACCCTTGCTTTACATGTGTATCACTTTAGTAACATTGGTAAGAAAAAAACTACATGGATGGAAACCAGCAGAATCTGGCAACCCTGTGTGTGGGAAATGAAAAACAAAATGTCTTGTGGCCACACTTAGAAGATGGATGAACTGCATGGAGCCCACCACTGTTTTAAAGTAATTGTGTATCTAATTGACTGTAGGAAAAAAATTCATCGATTAAAATAGTGCTTTGCTTTATGTAAACTTTATTTCATTCTTCATCTTCTAGTTGCACCAAATGCTTGATATGCAAGAACATGAGAATTTTTCTAACCTAATTTATCCTATTAATATCAGCCTTTGTATCTGCCTTCTTTTAATATTCTGTCTATTTTCTTTAGTTTGGATTTGAAGTTAGGTTTCCAAAGTTTTGTATAAAGGGTGTCTCGGCAAAGCCATTCAGCACATCACATTTAAATAGTTGCTTCAAGGCCAAGAAAACAGCACAATCAGAAAATACTAATATTTTGCCAGAGGTAAGGTCTGTGTTTGAACTTTCTTTAACCTACAAAAGTTGACATTTTTACCTTCCTGAGAAAATTAATAATGAGAGATGTGGTAATCAGAATTCAAGAACAAATGTAAAAGTAGCAACTCCATAATGTATAATTTTTAAGGCTTATTTATATCATATTTTTTTCTGGATAGTATCAATGATACTTGGTCTAATGACATGTGATACTACATTCTCAAAATAGGATGTGATACTACATTCTCAAAATAAAAATGAAAAACTTATTCTGATTTCTTAGTTTTGAAAAAATCAATTTTAAATATTGCTGTAGCATGTTGGAAACATCTATTCATTTATTTGTTTGTACAAATACATTTTATTATTAAATACTTTTTTAAAAATTTACTCATAGTGTACCATTTTTGCTTTGAGGAAATTAAAAGAAGACCCAAGTTTAAAAATCAAAATCCATATTTATAGGTGGAAAATATATAAAAAGACCTTCAATTGAATTACATATTTAAATTGTAATAGTTTTTTACCATTACAACTTTTAAATATATGAGATGCATCATCTCTCATATATAAAATAAAAATAATCTAATACCAGACAATTCAGGACAAAATATATTTTTGCATATTTCATATGCATATGCATACTTTCAGGAATCAAATGGAAGGTACCTAAAACTATTCCAAAAGTTTGCTCTTTTGAGATGTTTAATTACATTTTCATTTGACTATAATGTAAGGACCCATTTCAGCAAAGTACTTAAAGCAAGTGATTAAGTCCTTTTGAAATCCTATCTAAAGTATGTTACATATTCTCATTTGAATTTCTTTTCAGGTTTTTCATTATTATGGTCCAGTGTTAGAATTCATGCAGCTGGTGGTGCTCTCAGATCTACCATCCCATTTTGTATCAGATCTTGAATTTGAGCTGTATCCTTTTATTAAAAAGCTTACCTTTTCCCTCCAAGTGTTTACAAATGGAGGGAAGAGGACAGGGACTATGGTGGATTACCTTAATTTGGTACACTGAAGATGTGTATTTAAGTTATGTCAGAGATGCTAAGATGATATGAACAGGCACCTTTTAGCAGTTCTACAAAATCAAAACTCCCCTCCCGACGGTCAGCCCAGTTTCTGGGCTTCCCCCTGGCAGGAGGCCTTCTCCCAGGCACCAGCCACAGACACATGTTCCGAGCCCTGACCACTGGGATCCGTTTTCTGCTGCACCAGCCCCCCTGCTGCTGGCACTGGCCAGGGTTGCGCTCCCCCCATGCTGGCCTCACTTCTGCTGCTCCCAACCAGGGCTGCGCTCCTTGTTGCAATGGTCTGCTGATGCAGGCCCTGGCTGGGGGTGCGTGCTACACCTTGCCAGCCTGTGATGCACTCCAGGCTGCTGGACCTGCTGCTGCTGGCCAGGGCTTTGCTCCTGACTCTGGCCAGCCCCCGCTCCCAGCTGGGCTCTCTGGTCCAATAACATCCATGGTCCAGATGTTACCATACCTGAGAGTGCTGGATGTAAGAGTTTTCATCTGTGTTTAAATTTACCTTGTACTAGCAGCTGGTAATGTAAGGGGAGTCTCTTTAGGGTAGAAGAGGTTCTTACTGCACTTCATTTTATTTTAGCATGTTCAGTGTCTCTCTTCTTTCTTAAATTTAACTACTTTAAAATAAAATGCCCTACTTTTAAATTGAATATACTGAACTCCTCTTACCTTTAATTCTAAATTTTGTGGGGAGGTTTTTTTTTTTTAATAAGAATTAAGCATACCCTTTTGTTTGCTGGGTTAATAGACCATAATATTCTATATAGACGGTTCTTAGCAGTATTACATAATTAGAAAGACATTTACCTAATAGAAAAAGCTCCATCAGTAATAGTAATTAGCCTTACATACAACTAAAGGAAAAAGATCAGGGATTAGTGTGTAAGTGGCATGGTCAGGAAAGGCAAAAGGCCATTTCTTTACAGCCTTTTAAAATAAAGCGAGCTCACAGGTATATGAAATTTTTATGCATAGTTTTGTAAGTGGAGGTATAAACTACACTAGATGTAACCACTGTCTTTGATCTGATGCCATGATAAAATTAAACAAATATTCTTAGCGCACATAATTGGGCTAGCAGATTGAAACAAAGAGCACCTGCTGCTATTTATATGAAGAGGAGAAGGAGATACTGTGTTACGCTCTCCCACCTTATTATAATGACAATCCACTAATTTTGACCTTTTTTGGTGAGGAAAAGCCATCATTGGTTTTAGTGTGTCTCACTAATGTGTAGATATGCATTTACACAAAATGTGTATAAGTTAAAGGGAGTGGATAGCTAAGAAGCCCTTTATCTTCTAGCATATAAGTTAAGATACTATTCAGACAAGCACTTTCTTCAATTGATACTATCAGTATGTTTCTAATATTACCAGTCAAATGCCTTTCAGAACTAAGAGGTGATGTTTTCATCCTGCAGAAGGGTATTCCAGTACAATTATTACACTTAAAAGCAAAGATATTGAAGAAGAAGAAAAGTGCAGTGTTTGAAGAAGTATAATTTGGACCCTAATTAAAGCCCTCAGTAAAGTACACACATAACTATAGCCAGAAAATAAATACCCATCTTAGCGCTGGTCTTCACTATCGGGTTAAGTCAGCTTAAGTTACTCACTATTTCATCTACGTGAGTAACATAGCTGTAGTCAGTTTAAGTTAGATCTACTTACTCTGGTGTCTTCACTGTATTGCATTGATGGAAAATGTTCTCTGGTCTCTTCTCTGAGAGTTGGAGTACTGGAGTCTACCAGAGAGTGCTCTGCTGTCAATTTAGCAGGTGTTCACTAGACTTGTATTGATTGCAGTAGCAACATCTTCTGTATTGATTGCAGTAGCATGGATCTCATGAGTAGTGAAGATAAGCCCTTAAACTGAACCCCATTCATTATAATGAACAGCTTTCTGCAACGGACCCATCAGGAACAAGCTATTCATTCACATACCTTGAGTTCATTAGCATGAACAATGCAAAACTACAAATCTAATGAGTTATTGACGTCTGTGGGTTAAACCATTATTCGGTTTAACCATTCTTCATTAAGACCCCATAAGCAGAGGCATCTCAGCACCTCAGATTGGATCCTAAACTGGAGTTGCATACCTTAGTTTGACATTGACCCCTAGTATAGACATGGCTTCAGTGATGAAAGTATGTCTGTTGCATTAATACCGTGTAGAAGTTATCAATAAAAGCTACATTCAGTGAGAAGTTATTGAGGCTTTAGCAGTAGCATTTTATACCAGCTGATTAAAATCTTTGTTTTCTCTCTCTCTCTTTCTCTCTCACACAGACACGCACACACACACACACACACAATCTAAGTTGTTAACTCTCATAATGGTAAGAGATTAAATAAAATATGCATACATATAAATTGCTCCTACATGGTCACTTGAAAGCTTTCAATAAATGCTGTATATTTATAACATATATTTACAAAATTCATGAATTCATGCTCCACCCCATCTGATATAGAGAATTTATTCATTATAATACTTTGATAATTATGAATAGTGAGATGTTTAAACTTTTATTTAGGTGGGTTGAAATATTTCTTTGTGCAGAATATAATACAGGCAGTCCCCGGGTTACATGGATCCGACTTACATCGGATCCCTACTTACAAACGGGGTGAGGCAACCCCGCACTAGCTGCTTCCCCCCAGCAGACCAGGGAGACGCGAAGCTTGTGCCCCCTCCCCCCCCCTCCCCCTGCATACCAGGGAGACGCGGAGTGGCTTTTCTCAGCAGACACCTCAGCTTGAGAATAAAGGACTGAGGGAAGTGAGGTGTGGGAGAATAAAACTGAGCTCTGGAGAAATGTTTGGCTAGAGTTTCCCCTGCAATATGTACCAGTTCTGACTTACTTACAAATTCAACTTAAGAACAAACATACAGTCCCTATCTTGTACGTAACCCGGGGACTGCCTGTACTGTGATTTATAACATTGCAATAGGTATAACTATTTAAAGATGTGGTTCCTTAAACCTTTTTATACAGGAACTTGGCAAGTAACAATATCAAAGAAAAGTCTACACTGCTTTTTGACCAGATTTCTTCTCTCTGTGGAAAGGTATATTTTTTTTTCAACTTTGCAGCATTTTTTTTTTTTTTTTGCCAAAATTATTTCTCCATATCTATTTTTGTGTACTTTTAATTTAACACCTAATCTCTGTGTAGCTTTCTCCAAAATTTTCTTCTGGGGTCACAATCTGCTGTTAGATGTGTACATTGTACAGTTTCCAAGAGCAGAGTTCATATGCCCATGAAATTGTTAACTTCAGCCACGCTTTGACCTCATAGCATGTCTTGATACTCATTATCAGGGCTCGCCGAACCACGGTGAGCCCTGCTCGCCAGCCGCGCTGTCCGGCAATCTGCTCGTGGGCAGATTGTTCTGCGCATGTGCAGATCGCCCGAACCTGACTCTTCCAGGTTGCAATCTACTCACCATGGGCGAGTAGATTGCATTATTTGTCGAGCCCGGCTCACTATGAATCCCATCCCAACTTCTGTCCTTTTCTGTTCATTTTCATAATTCAGTTCAATCCTTTAGCAAAAATTATTGACTGCACCATCTTTAGTGTATTTTTTGTTCCCACAGATAAGTCCTTTTATAGCAAGAGTCCACCTTTTTCTCCATGCCAGCCTTCCTAAATGCAAATAGCAGAGTACTTTGAAGCCAGGTCCATACTTCAGGGGAAAATCAGTTTAAGGGACGCAATCCCAGCTATATAAAAAACATAGCTGTAGTCAATGTACCTTAAGATGAGCTTTGTTGCTTTCCTCAAAGTGGGAGGCTGTTGGGAGAAATGCCCCTGTTGACTTGGGAGAAATGCCCCTGACTCCCTGTGAGGAGAAGAAGTACTGGCACCAATGGGGGTGCCCCCTGCATTATATTTAGCATGTCTTTACTAGACTCACTAAATGGATCACCGGCAGATTGAATGACACAGCATCGATCTTCCTGAAATTGGAGATGTGGCCTAAGTAATTTGTTTATGTTCTGCAAGACAGTACATTGCACATATTCTATGCTGTTGGGCCAGTCATATCTTCAGTGTATATGCAATATTAATGGATTTTAAGGCCAGAAGGCACCATTAGATCATCTTTTCTGACCTTCTGTATGCCACAGGCCATTCCATTTAGCTAGTTACCTGTATGTGGAACACAGTTCAAATAAGCTGATGTGGTGCTTCAAATGTAGACCTGCACTTACTCCCGCTGGAGAGCCCTGTGGGGCCGCTGGAGTCCATCATCTGCCTGAGCACATTCCTCCTGGCCTTTCTGGTGCTTGTGGGCAGGATTCTGGCTAGCCTGGAGAGCTACAAGAAGTGCCACTGAGTGGGCCAGTTCCCATCAGCACTCGGACCTGCCAGCTGGACTCCCTGCATTCCTGGCAAGGCGTAGCCTCCGTTCCTCACTCACCCCTTGGGCTGCTAACTTATTCCGTCTCCCATGTGGAGCAGGGCTAGGTGCCATGTGGGGGTGCAGGTGAGTGTGAGTCACTTGCTGTGATTATTTGGGTATATCTCACATAATCATATCCCTGCCAGTGTTGGGGTATCAGGATTGGTTTACCTGAGTGCCCTCTCTTCTCTGCTTGTGTCTAGTTTTGTGTGGTATTATTTACTTTGGTTTCATTTTTGATGTTGGGCATAAGATGTGGTTGATGATGATAGCCGCCTGTGGTCCACAAAAAGGTCACACTAGATATTCTCTATGATTATCTGAGTAATGTGAATGCACTATATTTGCTCTTTCTACAGATAGGAGCCTTATTTGTTTTGCCTTGCAATGTAAGCAACATGTTGATTCCATCTCCTAGCCAGCTGAGTACAAAAAAATGGAAGGAATACATGGCCAAAAAACCTAAAGCCATAACCAGTAAGTAATGTATTTTAAGGGGTGTTGTGTTTATGTGTGTTTCCGGAATGTATAATATCAGTAACCCTGGCAGAGTTTGATTTTTATTTTGTTATTATTTCAGCAGACAATATCAATGTTTAATTTTAAGCATTTTTCTATGTTTTTATTGATTGAAATTGTAACAGTTGCAGGAAATTGGGGAAAGATTTCGGACACTAATTGTTAATTACAATAAACATTAAGCTCTCAAGCAACATTTTTCTTTGTTTGCCTATTTAAATTAGTGTGAAAATTATCATTACTATCATTTACCAATAAAAATCTAATCCTTTCATGCCTAAATATAAAGTTTTTATTAGCATGAATATAGAATAGTTTCTTTGAACTCCTTGGAAAAGCCACCTCTGCGTTTCAGAGCAGTAGCACGTTCCAGAGCCCGAGGTCAGCTGGGGACTCCCTAGCTGATCCTGGGCTTTGCGCGGCATTCCCGCGGAACCCAGGATCAGCCGAGGGTCCCCATCTGATCCCAGGTTCTGCTGAAAGGCCGTGTGGAGCCTGGGATCAGCTGGGGAGTTCCTAGCTGACCTCGGGCTCCACCTGGCATTTCAAGCAGCAGCACAGCATGGAGCAGACCCCAGGCTCCATGAGGGCGCTTCCACTTTGAAATGTACAAGAGGCCCCTCTGGGGCCTCTTGTACATTTCAAAGCTGGCCTGCATATAGATAGCCCAAAGTTGGCGGGACTTCCCGCTGGCCCCAGGCTGCACGCAGAGTTCTGCATTCCTCCTTTGAAATGTACAGGAGCCCTAGCTCCTGTACATTTCAAAGGAGGAGTACGGAAGTGCCTATTGGGTAGTTGATGGAAATTTCATCGACTACTCGACTAGTAAATTAACCGCTAGTTTATGTCCTTAACTCAAAGTGGAGAAAAAAATTAAAATAACTTGTGCAAGTTATGTGGTGGGTCAAGCCAGCCTTGCGATCAAGGGAATGTAAATGTGGCTTAAAGCTACCATTGTGCGTCAGTCTTCAGATGCATCTGAGAATCCAGCTTATAATGTCTCTCCCTTTCCTTTTTATTTTAAAAAGAGGCAAGCCTCATTTTTTCAAATTAGTTCAAAGCTATTGTTTCATATTAATAGTGTTATGATATACTGTAGTGACATAACGGTGATAGCTGTAGAAATTGTCAGGTAATCAATCAGTATAACTGAACACTCTACTTATCCCCCAAGATTTTGGCTGTTCTCTCTATAAATCTGTAATTAGATTATCATGGACTTTTCCCAATCCACTCTCTCCATTGTGCTATATGTTGTGCAAACATTTACGGAAATATGGTCTTTTTCCTGAAGTGTTTATAACCTAAGACAGATGACATAAAGCTATGGGAGGAGGCATACAGTCAGATACATACAGTTGCAGTCAGCAAGATAAATGATAAATGATGTGTCAACTATGTTTATCTGGCCTTTGCCTTTTACGTGAAAGGTGTATCTTGAGGAAGAGACTGAAATAGGAAAGGATACTGGACTTACAAATTTGGTAATGGAAGACATTCCTCTCTGTGGGGCAAGCACAGAATAGGCACAGTGACATTTGCATGAGAAATAGCCCTATCTACACTTTTATCATCATTGGTAGAGAAGAGGATGGAGATTAATGACAGGTAGAGAGGAGCAGGGTTGAGAAGAGCCTTGAAAGTGAGGACAGCTTAATGCCTGGAACAAGTGGACTGAGCATGAGGACAGATGTGATGTGATCATAGATGATTAGCCATTGGATTAGCTCTAGTGGAAGTGTATTGTATACTACTTTCTCCAAAGCCTGTGGCTAACCTGTTTATAGTAGATTGACTGGTCCACAATCTCTTAATTATGTGAGAGCAGTCATACAATGCCACATCATTCTTAGCCAGAATGGGTAGGAATGTTTGTCAGGGGCTGAATAACAGGAGAGGGCTCACTTGATGATTACCTGTTCTGTTCACTCCTTCTAGGGCACCTGGCATTGACCACTGTCAGAAGACAGGATACTGGGTTAGATGGACCTTGGGTCTGACCCAGTATGGCCATTTTTATTTTCTTGACATCTCAAACAAGTGTCTTAAATGAAACGATTTAAAGAGGGTGGGAGTGTTAAAAGGAGAAAACGTAGCAAGAATGGATGACCTTATTTTTTCTTCCGCAGCTACAGATATCAGCTTGATTTTTCTCCTTTAATTTAAATTAAAACTGTTCTAGAAAACATTTGAATATTTTATACTTTATTGATATAGATTATTTGCTGAATTTTCAATGCTTAATTCTGTCTGTCTGTTGAGACAGTGTTTTAAATTTCTTAATACAAGAAGGATAACAAGGCTTGAAGGTGGTATTAAGTGATTTGTCCTTCAAAGCCTAGTATAGAATTATGAAGTGCTGTCTTTCTGAACTTCTCGTCTTAGCAAACATCTGTCAATTTAATAGTTTGTATAAAGCTTGAAAAATATAGTGTCTTTAAAGTTATTGCAGTCAAGTTCATAGTGATCGTTTATATTCTAGTACAATCCACATGATCCAGGCTTTTGTTAGGAAATAGAATGGAGTATTTTTCATATGCTTCACAGCAGACATTTCTTGTTTTACTTTTAATAAAGATTTTAATTTCTTTAGTCTATTAGGATAAATATTATATGTAATATCTGCCTATAATAAAAACAGCATTTTCAGTAATTTACATAGTTAATGAATGATCCTGTTTTCTTTCTTTGGGGGGGTATAAGGTGTCTACCCTTTCATAAAACATTTTTAAAAAATTAGGACTTTCAATTAAAAATATTAAAAGAAGGGTTTCCTACTAGCAAAGATTCTATCTCCCCTAGATGTGGGCCATGACCTGTTAAATTCACTACATACAGGCTAGCCACAGGCTTTGGAGAAAATAGTATATAATGTCCTTCCACTAGAGATAACTTAATAGATAAGCTTCCTTATCATCACATAATATCTGCCCTCATGCCCCTGTCCAAAAAGCATACAGTTTTGTTCCTGTTTTAGGATAAAAATTTAGACTCATAACAGAGTCAGGTATTTACTTTCTTATTTAATAATAACTGAAATTTCCTGGAGCACCCTCCATCCAAAGATATCAACTGTGTTTTACAAAGTTAATTACCAGCTGTATGCAAACTTGCCTCATACATGAGTATAGGGCAGTAACACACACCTATGTTATCTAGTAGTTCAAGACAGAAAATAAAACAAACAAACAGACAAAAAAAACCCAATCCCCAAACCTTATCCTGTTGAAATTGAAGTGATAGTTCAGGCAGAATACAGTGATACAATCAAATGTTGGCAAGGGTACCAGAATTAACCATGTTAATCTTGTAAAATGTGCCTGGGATTTTTAGTGACTACAAGTGGTCAATACCTCATATTCATCTCTTGTCCATAAACATCACGCTAGGACATAGGTTGAAAATTAATGTGAAGGAATTAGTGGCACATCTGGATTTTTTTTAACTCCACCTGATTTGTGTAGAATATTTTAGAGATCTCTCATCAGAATATGGAGCGCATATGATAGGCTAGCTATTGTGATCTGATGCAATTTCAGATGGTGAAGTTCAAGTGATACTGCTGATGGTGAAGCTAGAGGCTGTTCAAGTGATATAATCTAGAAAATGTTATGCTTATTTCAAATACTTTTTTCTCAGAATGGTTTGTTTATCTGTTGGTGTTTGCTTAGTTCCAGAAGTTGAGCTAAAAGGAGAGTCTTGTCGATATTATTTCTTGGTACAAAGCAATGGCTTTGGAGGGTGCAAAGCAACATTGATTCATTCAGCCAACCAGATCAATGGCAGAGCCACTCTGGCTATATTAAATGGAAAACTAAAGACAAGCACGGAAAAAACACTGTCAAGTAAGACTTAAACTCCTTCTAAGGGTGTCTGGGGGTGGGTGGAAGAAATTGACAAAATGTTCAGTTTATTTACAATAAGAAGGTGGAAAAGCTAAGGGGAATAGTGACATTTGATAAAAATATTTTTGTTTCAGCAGAATGCTTTTTATTTAGACTTGTAAAATCATTTCACATTGATGGGAAAGTTCAAATAATTTTAAACTAAATCTTTAAGTTCAAGATAAAATACATGTGGTTTTAAAATATTCTATATGAGATGCGCAGCCCATCATTTTTGATACCTTCATTGGCACCTGGAGCAAATAGAATGCTTTACTGTATAACTCCAGTTAAAATGAATACTTAAATTAGACTTGCAAAATTATCATGAAGATTGACCAGACCAGCCCAATTTCTATTTGCCTTACCTTGAGGTGGTAAAAAAAAAAAAAAAAAAAAATTATTTCATTGTATTAGTTAATTATTTCTTTCACTCATTTGAAACAATATTTTCTCTGGATAGATAAGTCCAATTTTGCAAGGCTGATTTAGATGAAGAAGCCTGTTCCCTTGTAATTAGACGAAATCAAAGTGGAATAGAACTGACTGCCTGATCTTAATAGTTCATCCTAATCCGATGAAAAAGATGGTGGCAGGGAAAGCCTAAAGTCCTTGCCAATGTGTTATATAAATTGGGAACAATGCGTTATTTTCAAACATCAAATGCTGTAGCCTGTTTACTTCCTATGAATGTTAAGTGCATTAATTGCAATGGCATATCAACATTAAGTCTGACTTCAGTGCATAAGAACATGTAAATTGAAAGCTAAGGAATACACAGATATTTCATCCAAACCATACTTTTATTTCAGCATGTAATATGGAAAAAAAAACTCGAAGCATGCGGAGACCTCCTTGATACTTAAGGAGATTTTTGGGTGGATATTCAGCCTTTTATGTTAATTTCCTTGCTTTAACAGTATCCAGCCAAATATTAAATTCTAGCTGTCACTTTCTTAATATGAAACAAGTAGTCATGTGAGTTTACGTGAATCATACACAATGATAGCTCTGTTAATATATAAATATGTTTATCTAAACCATATAAGGCATACCTAAGAATGGCTTTCTCATAATCCATACAGACTTTTGTACTGATGACTTTATCAGATCTCTTCCACATTTCTATGGAGAGCAGATACTACAGAGAGAAAAGAAACTGGCTTATATCCAAGCATTTGCCTTGAAGGAACATCTCAGTAAGTGATGGAGAGAATATGGGATTAAATCACCATTGAATCTCAATTGATATAAAACAAATATATTGTCATTTTGTATTTAATGTGGCAGTGATTATTTTATAAAGTTGAAGGAAGATAGTTTATGAAAAAGGAATAGAAACATTTACTAATTGTTTCCTAACTGCAAACAATAGTAATACATCTGTGGTGACTTGTTGCAATGAGTCTGAAATCATCTTAGATCTGAAAGAGCTCTGGTTTTTATTTTGGGTTGTTAGAGTCTATATTTCTTAAATATGTTTTGGAATGCAACTAGGTTTTATTGATGAAAAGATGATTCAGAAAGAGACTCTTGTGGCAATTCAGTATTCATCTACTTTGTAGTTTTTGTAAATACATGGCTCTGTTTCTTTCTCTGTCTCTTTTTTTTTAATGGTGGAGGTCGAAGGTCTATTAAAGATTCATGTTTATTATAAGTGCCCATAAACTGAGCTAGAAGGTCTTTCTAAGTGCCTCAACTTTGGGTGGGTCAGGAACATTGTGTTTTGTCCCTTGATATTTAATCTTGTTTGATTCATTGAGCAGATGTAATTAAATGAAAATGTGACTTGGAGAGACTACAGTTTTAATAGCCTGATCTTAATGTAAATAGTTTGTAATTAACAGGCTGTCACTAGACTAAAAGTAACTTGCATCATAAAAAGCACTTGTAAAATGATTTCTGAGACTTTCCAATGTTTCACATGTGCTGATGGAATCAACTAATGACACATCCCTAAAGTATACAGCATTATGTGCCTTGTCAACAAATTTCTCTCAACCTGGGTCCAATCTTTCCTCATTGCTTAGCACCTTAAACAGTAATTATTTTTCTTCTCCTTATTGTGTTGCAGAGAGGCAGGAATCAGGCAAGCAGCCTTCAGCTGTTTCTGCTAATGAGCTCAAAACCCTGTTAACACTTACCAGGGAACGTTTTTTAGATTTGAATGACACTAGCTTTCCAAAAACTATTCTGGACAAAGCAATCAACAAAACTAGCCCCTGCACAATGACTTGTGGTAAGCACGTGTATTAAAAAATTCACCACTGCTTTCTGTGTTTTTTGGTTTTTGAAAAAGTATCTGCAAACAAGACTTTTTATTCACATATTACAATTACATTAAAATTAAGATTAAAGGAATTAATCCAGAAAAAGAAGAGTGGGAAATCTACATTTATTGGAGCATTTGTACATTCATATAGCAATTGTTCTCACCATTGGACTATTTATGTCTTTTTGAGTGTTGCTGATAAAGATATTATTGTTTTGGTATGGTACTGAACATTTTTCATTGAATCATTGTATATCTTATGTTCTTAAGGTATTCTTGTTCACTACAAAACTGTTCATTTGTGAGAAGTAGTACAGGTTTTTTTATATCCCCTTTGTTTCTGTGGTTTTCTTGCTTTCATTGAAGAATATAGTGTTATTTTATCCAAGTAATTTATTTATATTTTACCCCATTTATTCATCTGTTTAATTCCCATGAAAGCATAAGTGCATACATCTGGGATAGTAGGCACAGTAGTAGAATAGCAAGATTATTCTATGGATGACTCCGCACCTACCAAATCATATCACAATTTTAATGAAAAAGTATTCCGAGGCTCATAACTGCTATTTTCCTGTGGCATACCTAACACCTATCTCTTCAGTCAGAAAATTGTTTGCTAGCAGTATCTATTTAGACCATAGCAGTATATACTAAATCCATTACATCATCTTCCTGAAAGGTGATTTTAGCACATGCAGATAGGGAGTGTGAATTTGTTTTTTCATGTGTGTGGAGACTTCTCTAGAAGCAGCCACTACACACACCACACACAAATATGCAGAATTTCTTTTTCAGTATATAACTGAGTAAGATGTTCCCTCTTGGCATTATTTATTTGTAGCACTGCCAGCAACATATGTAGGTAATAACCTTTTCATGTAGACTTTATAAAGTTGTTCCGTCTTTGTTGAACAATAATTTTAATAGAATATAATACAGTGGAGTCATAGATAACTCCAATATAATTGCCAGGTGATATCCTAACACTATATTACCATGTCTGCACCATAACATTTCCTCATTACACCTCAGTATGTATTGCTACCACATAATAATGAAAATATCAGACTGTTGCCTCAGTATTACTTTTGGGACAGAATTTATTACTGTGTGCTCTCTCCTTCTTCAATTCGTAATCATTGGAAGGAGTCCTTGAGACTGTTTCATTTCCTCAGTGCTCTTCCTGTTACCCCAGATTCAGTTAGGCTACGTCTAGACTACATGCCTCTGTCGCCAGAGGCATGTAGATTAGGCAACCAGGCATAGGAAAATGAAGCGGCGATTTAAATAATTGCCGCTTCATTTAAATTTACATGGGCGAGAGAGGCATGTAGATTAGCCTACCCGACATAGGAAAATGAAGCGGCGATTTAAATAAAGGAGGCCTACCTGGGAGGTCGACAAATGCCTTTGATGTCGACCGCGGAGCGTCCAGACTACCGCGCTGAGCCGACAAACAGCTGATCGGCTCAGAGCAGCAGCCATGTACATTTTAATGAAGTGGCGATTATGTAAATCGCCGCTTCATTTTCCTATGCCTGGTAGCCTAATCTACATGCCTCTGGTGACAGAGGCATGTAGTCTAGACGTAGCCTTAGAGCTGTGTATTCCATAAGAGACTTGTGTGGTGCCCTGAATGCTTGCCAAGAGTCACTAGAGCTACAGTGTCCTCCAATTAATATTAATAAACCTGGTGCCTTTGACTGAATATAAATCGCATCCCATTTATTAACTTTCTGGTGTCAGTAATAGCTTTTTATTAATCTCACCCTGCTTTTTCCCCCCCTCTTAGAATCAGAATTAATAGGGTCCAATCCTTTGGAGTGGCCAGAAAGAAATGTTCTTCAGAACTTGGAAAATGTAGAAAAAATTAAACAAAAAATGAGGTAATGATAAATACCGTGTATTTTCTAAACAGATGGTGATAAACATTATTCTTCAGGATCTGTAAATGCTGGCAGGTTTTGTAAATCTCTTAAAAATATGTTCCAGTATTTATGACTGAGTGTTGATATGCAGCCATTTGTGAAGCTCCTGTAGGCACCATTGGATGAGCAAAAGATAAAACATCATTAAACCACATGCACACTAGGAACTGGTGCATAAATGAGTCAAATTTGCACAGTATCACAGTATATTGTAAGCCCAGGGGAGCAGTTTTTGCCACTGTCCCAATATAGATACACCATTAATCTTTTTGTGTTGCTTCATTTAAAGAAGGGTTGGGGAACCTCCGGCCCACGGACCACATGCACTTCATCAGGTTTAGCTGCTGGTGGGCTGCTAGATTGTTTGTTTACTGCGTGTCCACAGGCACAGAGCCCTGCCACTCCCAGTTGGCTTGGTTCAACATTCCCGGCCAATGGGAGCTGTTGGGAGTGGTGGCCTGGCCTGCAGGTTCCCCACCCTGGTTTAAAGCCAGGGCATAAATATTTTAAAAGTGTAAGAGTTTTGAAAAATGTTCATTATTTAGACTTGTGTTGAAATGCTGCTCCTTTGGGTCTTTTACTGCCTCCTGTGATTAGGTATTTAATTTATTCTTATAATTAGATTAATATCCTAGTTCTTTGTTCTGTTGTGACTCTTTAACATTTTACTGGATAAGCTTCCAATCAGTTTTCAATTTACAAAGTCCCAGGGTGGCATGGCCCACATCAGAATGTAGGGAGGAATATCTTACTTGCAGCCTCAACTTAGATCTCGGCTTTCTCGTGCTTTTTTTGAAGCACTGTCCTTGCTTCTCAAAACAGATAAAATTATCTTTCTGCTAAGCATACCTTTTGACAGGCATCTCAAGGATCTTTCTGTCTCTTAGATTCAGTGAAGGTTGCATGAGTCCTAAGTGAAATAATTTTATTTTATCCTATTCCTCATTGGTGAGTTTTACTCTTCCTAAAGCAGTATAGCAAAGGTGCTCAGTGTTAGAAGAGAAGACACTTTGCTGTCCTTGAATGAACTGCGTTAAGAGAATTATGAAGGGAAGGTTGTACAATACTTGCCTTTTGGTTCTTATCTTTAACTAAGCTATAAATCTCTCTTTCATGAGAATTACATTAATCTTCAGATACATAAAATTTGCTCACAGGATTGAGAATCTGTCTGCTTTCCATCCCAGTGTTAAATTTCTCAGCTGCACTGTAAAATCTTAATAATACTTTATATTGGGAAAACTGGTAGAGCCTTGACATTGAAACTACTTTATTATGAGGTTATCAATAAATATTTGAAAGAATAATTCCAGAAATGTTACACTGGTGATAAACCATTTTAATTGCTCCAAACTAACAATGACTCTTGGTAGGACAGATTTACTTTGTTTTTCTTTTCCAGAGTTTCTATGTTGGCACATTCCTCTGAGCAATTACTGGGCCATAAAGATGGTCAGAGGGAGTCACTGACATTACTAGATGCTAAAGAGCTACTGAAATATTTCACTCCAGAGGGATTACCAACTGGGGATCTTCAGCCGTTACAAATTCAAAAGAGGTAAGGACTTAAAATGTACAAAACTTCAGGGCCAAATTTAAACTGATGTAAGCAGGTCCAACTAACGACTTCATTGCTGGGAATGAATTTAGTCCTCAGACTCTCCTGATGTAAATGATCATTTATGTTGTTAGTGATGATGGAGAATAGGCTTCGATATATCAGAGCTATCCCAAATAAGCACCAATGGTTAACCAAAATAGTTTTGCCGTCACTATGAGAAGTTTTAAATCTTATCCCCTGCAGATGGGTCACTTTCTAACATTTGACAGAGAGCACTGGGTGGATAGGAAAAGAGGGACTGTACTGCTTGTAGGGGACAGCACAACAATGTGAATGGGTGAGAGAAATAGAGAAGCAAAGTGAAAAGCCCCCTCTTGCTACCGCTATATGAGAGAACAAAAAAAGCGGTCATGTAGCACTTTAAAGACTAACAAGATGGTTTATTAGGTGATGGGCTTTTGTTGGGCAGACACACTTCTTCAGATCATATTCTGAAAGTGAATTGGCATGACCATTATATAACAGAGGGATACAATGAAGAAGTAACCAAATTATACAGTAACGAATCAGCTACATAGAATCACAAGGTGGGGGCGAGGGGAGGAGGAAGAGACAAGGAAGGAGGAAATTGTTTATTGTAAGAGTCAATTAAGTGGCTAATCTGGAATTACTACGAATATCAAAAGGTGGGGTGGCTATGGGGAGACCTTAATTTAGATGATAATTACCTTACACGTTACAAAGATAGCCTCCCCACCTCCTCTGCCCCTTGGAGCCCAGGATCAGCTGGGAGTCCTCAGCTGACCCCAGGCTCCACAGCACTACTCCTTTAAAACACCACCTCTATGCATTTCAGAAGGGCAGCCATGGAACATGGGGTCAGCTGGGGACTGCCTCGTTGACTCCGGTTCCATGCGGCATTTCAGTAGAACTGGGATCAGCTGTGGAGTCCCCAGCTGACCCTGGGCTCCACGGCTGCCCTGTTGAAATGCCGCCTCTGTGCATTCCAAAGGGGCAGTGGAGCCTAGGGTCAGCTGGGGACTTCCCAGCTGATCCTGGGTTCCACTGAAATACCGTGTGGAACCGGAGTCTGATCCTGGGCTCCGCGTGGCATTTCCCCAGCTGACCCCGGGCTCCGTGGCTTTGAAATGCACAAGAGCCCCCATGTGGAGCCCAGGTTCAGCTGGGGACTCTTGTACATTTGAAAGAAGTCACCTGTGTGCAGCCCCAAGTCAGTGGGACTTCCTGCTGGCCCCTGGCTGAATGCAGAGTTCTGCATTCCTCCTTTGAAATGTACAAGAGCCCCAGTGTGGGCTCTTGTACATTTCAAAGGAAGAATGTGGAAGTGCCTATGTCTAGTCAATTAACCGCATTTTAACATCACTAGTGTGCAAGAGCAGTCTAAAAAAGCTGACAGAGTATTAGGAATCATTAATGAAGTGGGATGTAGGATGCAAAATGTCATATTGTCTCTCTATAAATCTATAATACCTCTACACCTTGAATGTTGGCTGCAGTTCTGCTTGCCCTATCTCAAAAAAATATAACGGAATTGGAAAGGTGCAGAGATGGCAATGAAAATGATTAGAGGTGTGGAAAAAATTCCATATAAAGAGAGATTTAAAAAGACAGAAACTGTTTAGTTTAGAGAAGGGATGAGTAAGGGAGGATATGATAGAGGCCTATTAAAATAATGAAGGGTGTGGAGAAAGTGAATAAGGAAATATTATTTACCCCTTCATGTAACATAACTAGGGGTCATCAATGAAATTAATAGGCAGTCTTTTCCTTTATGCAGCTTAGGCCTTTGAGCTTGTCCTCATTTAACAAGTGATCAGCAGACAATGTGCATTCCTCAGGGCAAAGTCTGGGTTTTTGCATAGTTGGAAGTAGTGAATTTATATTCACTTCTCACTAGATGTTGTTAGAGAAAACCACTGAACATGTTTTTTCCAGGAGTCCATTCTTGTCTTACACATTGTTCAGTATAGCCCTTTGATGCCCTGGTTCTCATATCTGTTACATCTCCCCCTTTGAGAGATTACATACAATCCTGTCAGATAATAATAATACAAAAGCCATTAGTTTAACACAATAGACTCCAGATGGGAAGGTCTCAGTAAGGTCTCCCAGGAATATGGCAGGAAATTGCCATACCTGCGACCATGTATAACATAAAATTGTTCATGAAAGCAGAGTATTCCGTTATCAGTGGGGTAAACTGCTGGAAAAGCAGTTTTAGAGCTGCAGTGTTCAGAATTAACTTTTCTCTCTCACAAATAATTGGAATGACAAAATTTTATATTTAATTTAGCCAAAATCCTGAAGGCATCTGCATTGATTAACTAAAACTTTGTAAAAGACTCACATTGTTATGACTAGTCTTCATTTTCAATCGTCTACCATTCATGTGCAATCAGCACATCTTTAAATTAGGGTACGTCTAGACTACATGCCTCTGTCGCCAGAGGCATGTAGATTAGGCTACCAGACATAGGAAAATGAAGCAGCGATTTAAATAATCGCTGCTTCATTTAAATTTACATGGCTGCCGCGCTGAGCCGACAAACAGCTGATCAGCTGTTTGTCGGCTCAGCGCGGCAGCCATGTAAATTTAAATGAAGCAGCGATTATTTAAATCGCTGCTTCATTTTCCTATGTCTGGTAGCCTAATCTACATGCCTCTGGCGACAGAGGCATGTAGTCTAGACGTACCCTAATTTAAAGATGTGCTGATTGCACATGAATGGTAGACGATTGAAAATGAAGACTAGTCATAACAATGTGAGTCTTTTACAAAGTTTTAGTTAATCAATGCAGATGCCTTCAGGATTTTGGCTAAATTAAATATAAAATTTTGTCATTCCAATTATTTGTGAGAGAGAAAAGTTAATAATTTGTTCATTACAAGAGTTTTTTTAATCCCCAATTTTGAAAAACCTCCAGCTGTGGAGTAGTTGGATTTGCTTGAATGGCTTGCTTTGAATCACAGTTCATGAAACCCTGAATTTGAAAGGATTTTGCTCCAACTCACTCATAGCAATAAATTGTAGAGTTGTGATGAAACTTTATCTCTTGAAGTGCTTTTACTGTAACTAGAAAATCTTTTAGAGCATTACAAGAGAATTTGGGTAACTGTGGGAAGTGCAGAACAAATGTATGAGGCGGTCTCAGATACTAAAGCAGGGCTGGCTAAAGTTCTTGCCTCAAAGGCTGAAAGGTCTGATTATGCTATACCCCATCCCACTCAGTCCGAAAGACAGAGTGAGTGGAGGCACAAGTGCTTTTACTGTAACTAGAAAATCTTTTAGAGCATTACAAGAGAATTTGGGTAACTGTGGGAAGTGCAGAACAAATGTATGAGGCGGTCTCAGATACTAAAGCAGGGCTGGCTAAAGTTCTTGCCTCAAAGGCTGAAAGGTCTGATTATGCTATACCCCATCCCACTCAGTCCGAAAGACAGAGTGAGTGGAGGCACGGCAGTGGAGATTTTCCAAAACTCTCTTTTCCTCCCTCCCTCAAGATTTCTTTTAA